GGCAACACAGTAAGACCTTGTCTGTATAAGTAATTTAAAAATTAGCTGGGCATGGTATTGCATGCCTGTAATCCCAGTTACCTGGGAGGCTGAGGCAGGAGAATCACTTGACCTTGAGAGAGGTAGAGGCTGCAGTAAGCATGGTTGTGCCACTACACTCCAGTCTGGAAAACAGAGTGAAACCCCATCTCAAACACACACACACACACCCGGCCAACTGATTTTTGAGGAAAAAAAAAAAAATGATGTGCGAACTAAGTTTCTCACCTAATACAAACATTAACTCAAAACGGATCCTAGGGGCCAGGTGTGGTGGCTCATTCCTGTAATTCTAGCACTTTGGGAGGCCAAAGTTGGCGATGGCTTGAGCCCAGGAATTTGAGAACCGCCTGGGTAACATGACAAACCCCATCTTTACCAAAAATAAAAAAATTTTTTTTTTAGCTGGGCCTGGTAGCACACACCTGTAGTCCCAGCTACTCAGGAGGCTGAGGTAGTAGGATGGATTGAACCCAGGAGGCAGAGGCTGCAGTGAGCCGAGATTGTGCCACTGCACTCCACCCTGTCTCTAAAAAATAAAAAAGGATCAGGGACTTAATGTAAAAGATAAAACTACAAAAACTTTTATTATTTTATATTAATTTTTTGAGACAGAGTCTCACTCTATTGCCCATGCTGGAGTACAGTGGCGCCATCTTGGCTCATGACAACCCTCGCCTCCCAGATTCAAGCGATTCTCCCGCCTCAGCCTCCCAAGTAGCTGGGACCACAGGCACACACTGCTGCATCCAGCTAATTTTTGTATTTTTAGTAGAGACAGGGTTTCACCATGTTGGCCAGGATGGTCTTGATCTCCTGACCTTGTGATCTGCCCACCTTGGCCTCCCAAAGTGCTGGGATTACAGGTGTGAACCGCCGCACAGCCTATTTATTTATTTTTAATAAAGACAGTGTCTCACCATGTTGCCCAGGCTGGTCTCAAACTCCTGGGTTTGAGCAGTCCTCCCACCTTGGCCTCCCATAGTGCTGGGATTACAGGCATAAGCCATTATGCTTGGCCAACTACTAAAACTTTTAGAAAAACATTAGAAAATTTAGATTTAGGGCCTGCTAAAGAGTTCTTATATTTGAAATCAAAAACACAATCTATAAGAGGAAAAATGAACAAATAAATTAGACTTCATGAAAATCAAAAACAAAATTAAAACTAAAATTAAAAACTTTTGCTTGGTGAAAGAACATTAAGAGGATGAAAAGCTACAGACCTGGAAGAAATATTTGCAAACTACATATCTGACAAATAATAAATAGAAGATAATAAAGAACTCTTAAAGCCCAACAGTAAAAACACGAACAATCCGATTAGAAAACAAGCAAGAGGCATTAAGAAGGCATTTCAGCAAAAAGGATATACATGAAAAGATGTTCAACATCATTAGCCATTAGGGAAATGCAAATTAAAACCAAAACAAGCTGCTGGGCATGGGGGCTCATGCCTGTAATCCCAGCATTTTGGGAGGCTGGGGCAGGCGGATCATCTGAGGTCAGGGGTTTGAGACCAACCTGGCCAGCATGGTGAAACCCTATCTCTACTAAAAATACACAAATATTAGCCGGGCATGGTGGTGTACGCCTGTCCTCCCAGCTACTCAGGAGGCTGAGGGAGGAAGATTGCTTGAACCTGGGAGGTGGAGGGTGCAGTGAGCCGAGATCATGCCACTGCAATCCAGCCTGGGTGACAAGAGCAAAACTCTGTCTCAAAAACAAAAACAAAAAAAAACAAACAACAACCAAAACAATCTACATACCTATCAGAATGGTGAACATAAAAAAAAAAAAAAACAAAAAAAAACAGTGGCAATACTAAATGCTGGTGAGGACATAGAACAACTGAATCACTCACATATTCCTGTTGGGAATGTAAACAGTTTGATAGTTTCTAAAGAAGTTATATGACCCTGCAACTGCATTCCTGGACATCTGTCCTAGATAAATGAAAACTTGTGTTCACAGGAAATCCTATATGTGAATGTTTATAGAAACTCTATTCTTAACAGTCAAAAACTGAAAACAACACAAATGTTCTTCAGTGGGTGAATGGTTAAATTGGTACATCTACACCTGTAATACTATTCAGCAATAAAAAGGATGAGGTATTGATACATGCAAAAGCCTGGAGAATTCTGCTGAGGAAAAAAAGCCAAACCTAAAAAGTATATACTGTATAATTCCACTTATACAACATTCTTGAAATAACAGAATTGCAGAAATGAAGACCATCTAGTTGCCAAGGGTTAAGGAATGGATGGGGGCAGGAGTAGGAAGAAAGTAGGTGTTGCTACAAAAAGGCAACACAAGACCTTTGTAATATTCTGTATCTTGACTATATCAGTATCAGTAGCCTGGATGTGAAACTGTATTCCAGTTTTATAAGATGTTACCACTGTGGAAAACTGGGTAAAGGACAGGGGATCTTTGTATTAATTGTTGTAAGTGCATTTCAATCTACACTAACTTCAAAATAAAAAGCTTAATAAAAAAGAAAAAAAAATGATACTGTGTAACAGTAATGATACTGTGTAACTGGTATTTGCCAAAGAACAAGATATAGCTGGTAGATATTGTTAGCAAGTGTTCCAAGCTAGAGTTCTTCTGGATTCCCACTAGGAAACAGTCTGAAAATATCTCAGAACTAGTAAAACAACTTCTAAGGAAGTATTAAATGAAATCACTGTTTTGTGAGAACTTGAAAAAAAATACAAGGGTGATAAAATATGTATTAAGGTATTTGGTTTAACAATAGGTTCCTAGCAGAAAATACAAAAGGTCATCTGATAGACCTGAGCCTCTTGAACTGTGGAATTAGGACAGCACACTCACTGCACCTCAGGAGGACAATCAGCAAACTGGATTTTTTACAGTTCACATCAAACAACAACAACAACAACAACAAAAAACCACACACACAGACCTGATTTCCTTCCTACAATGCCAAAATCTGTTGTTCTTTTGAAAAAAAATTCCATCCTTGTATTTCTTTGGGTTAAAATTAATATTTATTGACTTATCAACCAGAGGTCAGTGAGACAGAAAGTATGAAATCTTTAAATGTTCTCAGTTTCAGACTGGTATACTGCTGGGTCTACACACACCCTGTCCTTATTATACACCTCATGGTGACAATCAATGGCTGCTACTGAAAAATCTGAAAAGACATAGATGAAGAATACCTCAAATGCTGTTGGTCTGAATCTTCTTTATTTTTTTTTTTTTATTTATTTTTTTATTTTTTTATTTTTTTTTGAGACGGAGTTTCACTCTTGTTACCCAGGCTGGAGTGCAATGGCGCGATCTCGGCTCACCGCAACCTCCGCCTCCTGGGTTCGGGCAATTCTCCTGCCTCAGCCTCCTGAGTAGCTGGGATTACAGGCACGCGCCACCATGCCCAGCTAATTTTTTTTTTGTATTTTTAGTAGAGACGGGGTTTCACCATGTTGACCAGGATGGTTTCGATCTCTTGACCTTGTGATCCACCCGCCTCGGCCTCCCTAAGTACTGGGATTACAGGCTTGAGCCACCGCGCCCGGCCATGAATCTTCTTTATTGATTAATTTATTAATATATATTACTGTAACAGTGTATGTTTCCTTTTTTCAATGAAATAAAGTTTATCATACTATAAAAGTAATATATTTATTGACAATTTGGAAAACCAAAGATAAAAAAAAATTTCTACTATTCACAGACCACTGTTAACATTATGATTTATTTTCTTTAGAATCACTTGATTGTGCATTTTATTTATTTATTTTTGAGACAGTCTCTCACTCTGTGGCCCAGGCTGGAATGCAGTGGCACAATCTTAGCTCACTACATCTTCTGCCCCCTGGGTTCAAGTGATTTTCGTGCCTCAGCCTCCTGAGTAGCTGGGATTACAGGCATACACTACCAAGCCTGGCTAATTTTTGTATTTTTAGTAGAGATGGGGTTTTATGATGCTGGCCAGGTTGGTCTTGAACTCCTGACTTCAGGTAATCCGCCTGCCTCAGCCTCCCAAAGTTCTGGGATTACAAGCATGAGCCACTGTGCCCAGCCCAATTTCATATATATATATATTTTTATTATTTTTTCCAGACCTACAGTTAAACTCAAGAGCTAACAATCAGCAGTTTTCTTAAGTCTGCTTAAATCTCTAAAGCTATCCTCTGTAGTCACCAGGATCTCTCAAGACTATGGTATAGGTCAGGCATGGTGGCTCAAACCTGTAATCCCAGCACTTTGGGAGGCTGAAGCAGGTGGATCACTTGAGGTCAAGAGTTCGAGACCAGCTGGCCAACATGGTGAATCCCCGTCTCTACTAAAAATACAAAAATTAGCCAGGTGGCATATGCCTGTAATCGTGGAGGCTGAGGCCGAAGAATTGCTTGAACCTGGGAGGCAAAGGCTGCAGTGAGCTGAGATTTCGCCACTGCACTCCAGCCAGGGTGACAAAGCGAGACTCTGTCTCAAAAAAAAAAAAAAAAAAAAGGAAAAGATTACAGTATACATAATTGTAGGCAACTGGTTCAGAGAAAATACTGGGGATGATTGAGTAAATAAATGATTTTCAGAGTTACTTACTAGTTTGCGGTCTTCTAAATCTTTCACTATTCACTTTGCAGTTATTTAATAGTAAGTTTAGATTGACAAATTCCACTAGCCACATAAACCACCTGATGGTGAGAACAGGTAGCAGTAATGTAGTTGTCCTTTTATTTGATCCTAGCTTCCAGATATTACAGCAAATGTTTGTTATTGTAGCAGCAAAGACCAATCAGGGGTTACCTTCTGATTACATCCCTGAAACCTGGAGAAGGAGAGAATAAGGGAATTCAAGAACCACTAGCCTAGATCTTGGGGATGATTACAATGATGCCGCTAATCTTGCAGCAAGCAAAATATATCATAGAACCAGAGAACTTAAGAATAAAGGGAGATCTTATGAGTCATCAAGCGCAAACCTTTTCTGATGCATGAGTTTCCTTTCTGTTTTGGAAAAGTAGTTGTCCAAACCGCTTGAATGTCTCCAGTAAGGCCTGATTTCTTACCTGAAAAATGAGGGTGTTATAATATGATTACTTAGTCCCCTTCAAGTTCTAATAGTGTTTTCAGTGAAATGTAAACTTCTGTTGGCTAATTATTTTTTTTTAAAAAGTTTCTCCCTTTTTAGTAAGTGAAGTTAATGTCCTCTATTCTGAAGTTACAATTCTTTGGCATATTTGTTACTATTAAAAAAAGAATACTTAATGTCATGCTATCCTTATTTGTCCAGGTGTAAGTATACATTATACTTCCCTTATGATTTTCCTAATAATTCTGGGAGGGATGGTTCAGAAATCTTAAGAAACTTACATGAGGTCATTTATACAGATAGTATATGGGCAGCTAGAACCTAACGTGTTTGGACTTCAAAATCCAGTATTTTTCCCCATTGCACCTATAAAATGTCTTATTATAACATATATCATCTACCTAAAAATATTTTCCAAATAGCCCAATATATATTATAAGCTAAGTGACTGACCAAGCGCAGTAGCTCAATCCCAGCACTTTGGGAGGCTGAGGTGGGAGGATTGCTTGAGCCCAAAAGTTCTAGACCAGTCTGGGCAACATGGCAAAACACCATCTCTACAAAAAAATATAAAAATGAGCCAGCGTGGTGGTGTGCACCTGTAGTCCCAGCTACTCAGAAGGCTGGGGCAAGAGGATCACTTGAGCCCAGAAAGTGGAGGCTGCAGTGAGCCATGATCATGCCACTGTTCTCTTGGCTGTGTGACAGAAAGAGACCCTGTCTCAAAAAAAAAAAAAAAAAAAAAAAAGTATAATCTAAGTCATAAAACCTAGCATCACAAACATGGATGCCAATCTTAGGTGTTTCTTGATGGGATGCAGTAAGACAGCAACACCTATGTGGTATTCTGAAAAGTTTCGTATGGCTCTGATCATGAGGGAATAATTAAGAAAATCTATAACATGGAACAATTTGTAAGACAACCTGGCTGGTCTTTTCAAAAGTGTCAGTCATAAAGAAAAGGGATTGAGAGGGCTGACCTAGATTAAGACAACAAGGCCTGGTGTGGTGGTGCACGCCTGTAATCCCAGCACTTTGGGAGGATGAGGTGGGCGGATCACGTCAGGTGAGGAGTTTCAGACCAGCCTGGCCAACACGGTGAAAACCCATCTTTACTAAAAAGACAAAAAGCCAGGTGGAGTAGCTGGCGCCTATAACCTCAGCTATTTGGGAGGCTGAGGCAAGAGAATTGCTTGAACCTGGGAGGTAGAGGTTGGAGTAAGCTGAGATCATGCCACTGCACTCCAGCCTTTGTGACTGAGCAAAGATCCATCTCCCCCTACCACCCCCCCCCCCCCCAAAAAAAAAGAGAGAAAAGAGAAAATAAGCCTGGGCAACAAGGCAAGACCTAGTCTGTACAAAAAAGTGAAAAAAATTAGCCGGCGTGGTGGCAAGTGCTTGTAGTACTAGCTACTCAGGAGGCTGAGACAGGATTGCCTGGGCTCAGAAGTTCAAGGCTGCAGTGAGCTATGATCACTTCACGACAGAGGCTCTAAAGAAAGGAATTACAGAGTCATGACAAAGGAGTTCTAAGACCCAAATTAAGTTATTTATTTGTCATTTTAATAATTCAGAGTGCCTACACTCAGACCTTAGGTCACTGTTTGTTTCACGTGTTTCACCTTAGAAAGTAAGAGTTAAACTATCTCCAAGGTCTCTGCCAGCTCTGACATTGTAGTTCTTTCAATATACTCATAATATACAATAAATTGTGAACAGGTACCACCTATGAGCCTAATTCCGAAGGGAAAATGTAAATAAAATAAAATGATCATTAATTAGAGAAACTCAGCAAGGTACAAAATAATAATAATAATAATAAGACGTTCTTTAACGGTGAGCCCCTAAAGTCAATTTTAAGTCTAGACTTCTATGAAAGTAGACCGCCGAGATGTAAAACAAAATTCGTTAGCTTTTAGATAGGATTACATTTTTTTGCTTTGATTATTCTAAAGCCTCTTGTAAGGCGTAAAGGGAAAGCTCTAACTAGCGCGTCCTAGGAAATGAGGAGATCTGGGAAGGGGTGTTAGCCCTGGCGTTACGTCTAGAGACGATTTTTACGGAAAGTAGGATCTTCCCCCCGGCAGCTCAAGGTCACAGTGTCAATACCTTATAGTCTAATTTCAGTGTCCTAAAACAAGACCCGGACTCCCCTAATCCGGGTTGGGGGTGGCTCAGGGCCTAAAGTTCCTAGCAAAGCCCAGGTGACGCTATCCCCAGGAAGGTCTGAACACGACCGGGGAAAGCACTGTCCGGCTTCGCACCCCCCCACTTCGCACCCCACTTGCCCCAAGTACATGCGGCGGCCTCCTCCGGAGACCCCGCCACCTTTCTGGAGCGTAACCTGCCACCTCCCGCCAGGGAACCCCGGATTCTCACAGCAGAGAAGATACCATACTTAAGCACAGGCTCTCGCATCCGACATCAGTACAAGGCTATTGGGTGCTGGGGGTCGGCTGAGCCTCGGGAGGGAGGGTTGGGTACAGGACTGGCGCGGCGGCCGCCAGATGGGAAAGAACACGTGGGAGCAGTGATGTCAAGTGACACTTAAACCCTTAGACGCCGATTCGTTATAATGTGAAAAAATCTGGAAGAAAAAGATGGTACCATCAGCGAATTCTAAAGTCTCCGAAAGATTAAACTCTGTGATTGTCTGCTTAGACAACGCTTTGTATTCCTGACTTCCTCTCCAATAACGACCCGAATCTGTCGAAACTCTTTAGAAGCCTAATTTACCTAATCCCACCTCCCTAACCGTCTTCGGAAGCTAAACAGTGTAAACAGTCCCTGATAAACACAAGTAGGATTACAAATCGGGAGCTCTTCAAGTCTTGGATGAGACTGTAGAGCGGTCATGTGCGGCAATGTGCGTCCTTAAAAATAAATAAATAAATAAATGCAACCCCCCGTTGTGTCCGGAGTTTGTTTCCACCCGGAGAGGGAGGGAAGAGCACCAGAAAGCGCTTAGCTTTCTGGTTGGATATTTTGGATGAGTTTTTTTTGACGCGCATGCGTGTTCTGTCTCAAAGGCGGGTTTGGAGGGAAGTGGGTTGTGACCCACCGGCAACTGAAGCTGTTGTCAGCTTCCACCTGTGACGGCGCGGTTCTCGGGCGTCCTGGAGACGCGTAGGGGTGAATTTAGGTTTCCGACGATTGCAGCTGGAAGGGGTGTGTAAGACTGTGGCTGAAGAAAGCTGTTACGCTTTTTATGTGGGTCATGCCTCTTCTCAACAAATTGTAATCCCGCCTCCACATGTTTGGCTTTGCCCTACCAGCTCTGGGGTTGCGGAGTGCACTGTTACGGGTATTGTTGCTCCTGCGGCCATTCTCCTGTCATCTCCACGTTCACGTTTTGGCGTAGTGTATTAATAGTCCGAGTGGGATTAATGGGTGAACAAGACTTTATAGTTGTTTCTGATTCTGGATTCAATACCGAAATTTAGATTTTCAACTTTGTCGATGTTCTATTTCGACATTTTAAAAACAGTTCATTGCAAAGAGGTGAAAATTTTGTTCTGAAATCTTAAGGACACAGAGAAAGTTTTTCCGTCCTAAGTGTGGAACTAGTTTTGTGACCAACAATATGAAAGGCTCTGAGGTTAGCCTGCAGAAGAAAAAAAGAGTTAAGATGCCAGCAAAGAGACTTCGTGAGGTAGTTTCTCAAAATCATGGAGATCATTTGGTTTTGCTGAGAGATACGTTGCCCTGTGTTCCTTCGGCATTGTCTGCAAATAAAGGTCTTCCTGCTGGAACGGGGACTAGAGTGAATGGAACATCACCTGGTATGTCATTCCACGTAGTTTTTCAGTCAGCTTTAGTATATGTAATAAATCTTTAGTTCTTGTTTAAATTCCCAAATGTAAGATATAAGTCTAGTTTGTACAGATGTTTGAAAACTGACCCTGTTTCCCAGGAAAATTGCCAGGAAGCCTATAAAATGTTTGAGTAGATAGATTGAATGAATGAAACTTTAACGTCTCCTATTGTGCGGTTTTTTGTTTTTTTTGTTTTTTGAAACGGAGTCTTACTGTGTCTCCAGGCTGGAGTGCAGTAGCGCGATTTCAGCTCACTGCAACCTCTGCCTCCTGGGTTCAAAGCGACTCTCCTGTCCAGCCTCCCAAGTAGCTGGGATTGCAGGCGCACACCACCATGCCTGGCTAATTTTTGTATTTTTAGTAGAGATAGCGTTTCACCATGTTGGTCAGGATGGTCTCGATCTCTTGACCTCGTAATCTGCCCACCTCGGCCTCCCAAAGTGCTGGGATTACAGACGTAGCCACCGCGCCCGGTGCTTTTTTTTTTTTTCCTTTTTTTTTTTTTTTTTTTCAGCATGGACTTTTGCATATTGTTTTTGTTTATATCCATATGGATATGCTTAACTTGTATAGTGTGCTTTTTTTTCCCCGAGTAGTGTTTTTTTACCTAATGACTACTTTCTGTGCATAGTGGGAAAAGCAGGACTTCTGCCAATTGATGGCTTCTGTATTCCAATTCACTTAGCCTATCTAGAGCTCAGTGAAAGTAAGGGTAACCTGTGCTTTATCCACTTTGCTGGTAATTGTGAGGATCAAATTAATGAATATGTGAGCTAAAACAACAAAATGCTTTTATAATGCTGCTTTTTGTGGGATACAGCAGTGACACTCAAATAGTCCTGCTGCTAAATTAGACTTTTATGTTGTATACATATTTTTACCCATAGTTTGTCCACATTCAACAGCGTATAGTTATATTTTAAAATGTTTTCTGCTCATCTCACTTTATTGTCAGTACTGAACATTCAACAGCATATAGTTATATTTTAAAATGTTTTCTGCTCATCTCACTTTATTGTCAGTACTGAACCTTATTTTCCCAAATATCAACTGTAAAGGCCTTCCTTCAGATATATTTAAATACATTTTCTTAACTTTTTTTGCATGCAAATTGTCTTTCCAACTTATGTGTTATATGGAGTTTATAGTTCTTGAATCATGCCTATACAGTTTCTAAGCTAAGGATCTGATTTTAAAGTCACTAAAATCTATTCCTTTGTTTTGTTAGGTTCATCAGATTTAACTTCTGCTGGAAATTGTCACCAGTCTCTATTAGAAAATCCCATGGTGTCAGAAGGTGTAAGCAAAAGGATTCTTAATTATGCTCACATACAAATTCTCAATATTGTCAAATAATATATTCTTAAATTATGTTTGATTAGCAACATGCCTTGTTTTTATTTAAATATCACTTATCAAAACAAATGTTTTATATACTACAATTCTGACTTTGAATGGTGTTTGAGACATTAAACAAAAGGCCTTCCCTAGAATAAAAAATACCCATTAGTAAGATAACGGCTGCTTAAAGAGATATGAAAACTGAAAAGAAGCTCTCTTACTATTCAGGGAAAAGGTGCTCTTGCCCAGAGACTTAACATATTCTTAGATAAAAGAAAAGGAACGACTAACAGTACAATTTTTTTTTAGAAGTGAGGTGTGCTCACAGGTCTTTCTAACACTTGTGAGGTCTTTCGGTTTTTTTTAGAAGGGAGGTTCTGTAAGAATAACATGAAATTAATATCTTAACTTTATAATGCCAAAACTATTTGATAAATATGTTTTGGTTATGAGATCTAATTAGATTTGGACAGCTAATCATAGTGTTGACCTACATATTGTCAATTTAATAAGTCTGTATAATGAGAGTTTCACAATATACTCTTTGAAAATTGAAGCTGGTAAATAATAATTAAATTGAGACTACATGACAATTTTGTCAAAAGCTCACAATAAAATGTATAATTATAAGCTGTACTTGGTCCCTAAGTAAATGGCTAGACTTTGGAGTGTTATTTTTGTTGTTGTTGTTTTGTCTTTTTTATTTTTTAACAGGCCTTATTTAATGATATCTAAACTTCTCAAATGTATGGATACAATGTTATTATAAATGGGTGATCTTCGTGATGTTGTGCCATCCTTCTCCATTTGACTCACAGCGAGTCAGAATTTCACATTTCACTGAAGCAACTGAGATGTTGAATGAGTTGCTCTGCTAGAATTGGCAAACTGATTTGAGTTTGAATCTCAGTGCCACATTTGCTTGCTGGTTCATTTACTCATTCATTCACTTGTCTGATAGTGTATTACTCATTCAACAAACCTTTTTCTCTTTTTTTGAGAGAGTCTTGCTCTGTTACCAGGCGCCAGGCTGGAGTGCAGTGGCGTATGATCTCAGCTCACTGCAACCTCCGCCTCCCGGGTTCAAGCAATTCTCCTGTCTCAGCCTCCCGAGTAGCTGGGACCACAGGCGCGCACCACCACTCCTAGCTAATTTTTGTATTTTTTAGTAGAGACGGGGTTTCACCATGGTCTCGATCTCTTGACCTTGTGATCCGTCTGCCTCAGTCTCCCAATGTGCTGGGATTATAGGCCTGAGCTCCGATACCTGGCTCAACAAACCTTTGAGTTGCTTTAAGGTACATCAGCGTTGCATGGTGATGGAAATGAAGAATATTAAATATACAGTCTTGACCTCCCAGAACAAAGTACTCACATAGCTAGTAAATGGTTCTGGATAAATAATGAATCATGAAGTTATTTAGCCTATATCTTCCTTTCATATCCCAAAGAATTTTTCTAAAGATGTTGCAGTGCAAGTGTTGCCTTTGGATAAAATAGAAGAGAACAACAAACAAAAAGGTAAGAGAATAAAATTGATTTTTTTTATTGTAATAAAATATACATAACATCAACTTTACCACTTTATTTTAAAATGTACAGTTCTGTGACAGTGAGTACATTCACATTGGTGTACATTTATCACCTTTCATATCTAGAGCTTTGTCATGTTTCCCGACTCTGTACCCATGAAACACTAATTGCTCATTTTTCCTCTCCTCAGCCCTGGGCATCCTACTTTTTGTCTCTATGAATTTGACTGTCCTAGGTACCTTGTATAAGTAGAATCATATAGTATTTGACCTTTTGTTACTGGCTTATTTCACTTAGCATAATGTCTTCAAGGTTCACCCATGTTGTAGCATGTGTCAGAATTTTCTTCTTAAGGGTAGAATTTATTTTTAAACATTTATTACATAGTCTTACAGTTTTTATTTATTATTTTCATTTTAAATTAGTTTTTTCTCCAAAATTAAGCTATTGCTAGAATCTACAAAATCCAGAATAAGGTTTGCAATGGTGAAGGTTATCTTCTTATTACTAACCTATTGCATAGGTTTAGTATTAGATATGTTTATAAATTCTTTTTTTTTTTTTAAATGGAGTCTCCCTCTGTTGTCCAGGCTGGAGTGCAGTGGTGTGATCTCCACTCACTGCAATCTCCAGCTCCCAGGTTCAAGCAGTTCTCCTGCCTTAGCCTCCCGAGTATCTGGCATTACAGGTGCGCACCACCACACCCAGCTAATTTTTGTATTTTTTCGTAAAGATGTTTCACCATCTTGGCCAGGCTGGTCTCAAACTCCTGACCTCAAATGATTCGCCCACCTTGGCCTCCTAAAGTGCTGGGATTACAGGCGTAAGCCACTGTATCTGACCCCACATGAATTTTAAAATAGTTTTTTCTAATTCTGTGAAAAATGATCTTG